AGAAAGGCTGCATGTGAAATGCTTGGATAAAATAAAAATGGCAAAAAAAAAAAAAAAAAAAAAAAAAAATCATTACATTGATATTTTCTGTGGTTTGAATGTTTGTGTCCCCCCAAATCATATACTGGAATCCTGACTCCTAAGGTGGTAGTAGTAAGAGACAGGCCCTTTTGGGAGGGGGGTCCTTTAGGTCTGAGACTGGCACCCTTGTGAATGGAATTTTTCACTTTATAAAAGAGGCCCGAGGGAACTTATTGACTCCTTGTCTCTTAAGGTAGAGAACTTGCCTTTTCTAATAAAAACTGAACCTATCAAAGCTTTTATCTTGGACCTTCCAGCCTCCAGAACCTTGGGAAATAGATTTCTATATTTTATAAGTTACCTCATTTGTAACACTTTGGTATAGCAGCCTGAATGGCCAAAGATTACTATGTTTTAAAGCCAGATTGGGAATTTTCTTTGCTGTAGGATAGGGGAGAGTTGGCCTAGCTTACTTAACATATGAGGGAAGGACAGAAAAGAATCAAATTTTAAAGATAGCGAACAAACTAAGAAAGCAGGATTGGGGCCGGGAGAACCTCTGCCAGCCCGGTGGTCCCAGCACCTGCCTGGCAAATGCAAGGACTTGGGTTTGATCCAAGGTACTACATTCTGTGCCTGCCCTGGAACCCCAGACACGCTGGGCTGGCCACTGAGCCTGGGCATGGTGGCACACACCTGTAATCCCAGCACTGGGGAGGCTAAGACAGGAGGATCACTACGAGTCTGAGCTGTGCAGTGAGACCCTGTACCCAATCAGTAAATGAATGATTTTAAAAATATAAAACAATTGTAGAGAAGATAAGGAGAACATGGGATAGTGGAAGGCAGAAAGGCTTGATGTAGGCTGATTAGCTTAAAATACTTCGGATTTAGAGAATAAATGAGCAATGTATTTAGCTTTCAAATATTTTTTTTTTATTAGAGTAATATATCCAAATGAAAACAATAGTGTCCTTTTTTTTTGACAGAGTCTTGCTATATGGTTTAGGCTGGTCTTGAACTCACCATGTAGCCCACGGTGGTCTTGAATTTGTAGTGCTCCTCCTGCCTCAACCTCCAGAGTACTAGGAATACAGGTGTGTTTTACCGCACCCACCTAATATCTTTATGTAGTAAGTTTCCCCTATGTCTCACTTTTCTCATGGCTGAGACAAAATACCCAATACCTGAAGTTAAAGGAGGAAAGGTTAGTTTGGCTCACAGTCAGTAGAGGTTTTAGTCCATACTGGGCTGGCTCCAAGGCAGGGTGATACATGGCAGAGAGGTAGCAGTTCATGGCTGCAGAAAAAAACCCAAAGTGACGAGATGAGAGAAGGCAGATCCGTTTCTGTCCCTTATATTGGATGCATGTTACCCTCCATAGGGCGGGAGTAGCACTCACACCCTAATCCTAGCCTCGGACCATGGATCAGTAACAAACTCTAGATTCAGAGGCTTCTGAAAAGCTGCCCCATGGTCCCATGAGGCCTTGTGGGGATATCCAGACACAAACCATAGCACCCTATTTATTCCTTATCCCCAGCTACATTGTTTGTTTGTTTTTAAATAATTTAAAATTGTTTAAAATTTTCTCTAATTCTAGTCATTCCAGCAGTTTAGAAGATGTACTTTATCCAATTCCTGTTTCATCATTTGTCAATTTATACTGATTGCTTGATGAAAAGATAGGGGTTTGATACTTAAAGTTTTATATTGATAACCTTGTAATTGAAAAAAATATTTAAACTTCTGTTAGTGCCTGTGCCCTATGTCCCACCTTTTCTCTTCTCCCATCCAATATCTGCTATTTTACATTAACTATACATTTACATTTTCAACTTTTCTAACAGCTTTATTCTGTGTATAAGCATAACCTATCTTTTGTAATTGTCCCATTCCGAAATTTCAAAGACTATAACCTGTCTGTTGTGATCATTTAAATATTATTCCATCATACCAAGTCATGTTCTTTCTTAAGTTTCTGTTTCTTTCTCTAGCAATCTGACATAATTTCCATGGGTCACTCGGAATGTTCTTGAACATCAAAGTCAAATGAGTAATTGTTTTTCTTACCTCTCTCCTCCTGTTTGGCAGTAGCAGCCTAAAATAATGACACAGTTTAGTTTGTTTCATCCTTGGCCTATTTGGCTTTGGGGCTAACCTCTTGTAACTTTTCTGATGTGTTTAATTTTTTTCTCCTTATATTGCTTGTCAATATCATAGTTCTTATGAATTTTTCCTTCCTATTTTTTCGGTTGAGGTTGTTTCTCATTTTCATTTTTCTTTTCTTTTTTTGGTTGAAGACTTGTCCTGGAGGTCTTGTCCTTTTGCTGCAGATCAGCCTGGTTGCTTGCTAGGCCTCTGAACAAAGCCTGCCTTTCTATTCATTTCTTGGGATTGCTTTCCTGTACCTTCAGATCTTCTATTTTGTTGTTATCTCTTACTTTTCTGGAATTCATTGTGAGGTAATCTTTTTTTTTTTTATTTTTTTTTTTTTTTTAGAAAATATGTGGAGGAGCTGGGGAGATGGTTCAGTGCAATAAGTGCTTCCCTGGCAAGCGCAAGGGTCTGAGTTCAATCCCCGGTTCTGGAAAAAAAAAAAAAAAAAAAGAAAAAGAAAATATGTGGAGGGGGTCTGGTGAGATGGCTCAGTGGTCTAAAGCACCTACTTAGAACAAGCTAAGCAAAGCACAGGGACCGCGGTTCAGTCCCCCAGCACCACACGCCAGCCAGCCCCGCCCCCTGGTGGGCTGAGCTGGTCACACACACACACAAATAAATTAAAAAAAAATATGTGAAATTTAAAATCATTGAATCTTTAGATGTGTGAACATTTCAATCCCCTCTTTTATGTTTATGTGGGTATAGAAGTCTAGGTCTGAAACCTAGTGATTTTTTATTTTTATTTTTTATGTATTTAGGACAGGGTCTACAGAGTGTAGAAGGGTCTTACTGCATAGGTCAGACTCGTAGTGATTCTTCTGTTTTCAGCCTTCCAAGTGCTGGGATTACAGGTGTGCACCACCATGCTCAGTCTCAGTCACTGTCTCAGTGTGCCCCAGGGGCAGGGCCGGCATGGCATGCCAGGGATCAAACCCAGCTGGTGCTCTTTGCCGAAGCAGGGGCTTTAGTCCACTGAGCTATCTGGCTAGCCCTTTACTCATCTTTTTACATCAATTAGTTACAGTAATTGGCTTTTAATATTTATTGATGCTTATGAGAATCTAAAGAACATTTCTTTTTTATTAATAACTTGACTTTTTCCTGAATAAACTTTAATTTTTTTTTCTTTAGTAATTTGAAAATCCCAGTGTTAAATTTTTTTCATTCATTGCTGTCTGCTCAGGTCTTCTCTGACAAGCAGCTTCCAAGA